AATCTTCTCCCACAGTATATCATATGCACGTGGTGCCCAAGGAGGCCAGAAGAAGGCATCAGATCTTCCGGAACTGGTGTTAATAACAAGTTGTGAGCCAACATGAGCATGCTGGGAATCTAACCTAAGTCCTCCAGAAGAGTGGCTAGTGAACATAACCACTGAGCCATCTCCATCCCTCTTAAGAGTTTTTTAAATATAAATCTCTTCATGACCTTTTAACGTTTTGCCTCATTTCTGACTTGTAGCCTTCACCCCGTTTTTGTGTGTCAGCCTGGGGAGGGTCTTGGGGGTCTTATGAATAACACCAGGAATGAGAAGAGAAGCTGTATCTCCACTATGAGGCGTGGGACAGAGTTTCTAGACGTCTCTGCCTGGGATATCTGGTGCAATCATCTTGGAGCAGAGCATCCTGCGTCCACTGAGTTTGAGTCATCATTCACTCGTCTGTGGACACGCTGCTCATGTGCAGAGCAAGATAACCCCGCATGCGTTGCTGGTGTTAACGTGTTTGTGCTTTGCTTCTTGCAGATGAGATCCTGCGACAGGTCTTTTCTAATGACCCAAAATACTTAACAAAAGAAGGCCCAAGGACAGCTGAAGAGCCAGCAAGGCAGAAAGACTTGAATGAAAGCAAGTATATGCCAATGGGCACCTCTTTGGTAACTGGACATACCTTGAGAGAGGCATGGAGACAATGGCCCTCGAAGGGCTAGATGTGGGCTAGAGGGTCAACTCTTGTTGACTGTGTCTGTGATGCCGCATCCAAGGAAAGATGACCAAATCTGGCACACAAAGCTTTTCATTAAAAATGTTTAGGCATAGTCAGTCCATTTTCCCACAATGTGGCTACCAGTTGCGTCAGCGCCATTTATTAGAAAGTCTGTCTGAGATGCCTCCTTTATCATGGCGTAACTCCTCCTACCCTCTGAGGTTCTGCCTGGGTTTCCTATTCATCTCGTGCACACAGCACACAGAGGCTGAAACGGTTTGTTTGAATGTCCTTCAGAACCAGTACCCCCCTTGCAGTTTCTGCCCCCCAGTGACTTTTCTGACCATTTTAATGATAGTTTTCCCATATGAGCTTTACTATCAGCCTGTCTAACTTTATTAAAAGTCTGTTTGTACTTTTCTCAGTCATTTTGGAAAAACCGTTATTACCCAAGGTTAGAAATGGGGATATCTTGACAATTTTTTTTTTTTTTGGTTTTTTGAGACAGGGTTTCTCTGTGTAGCTTTGGAGCCTATCCTGGCACTCGCTCTGGAAACCAGGCTGGCCTCGAACTCACAGAGATCTGCCTCCCGAATGCTGGGACTAAAGGCGTGCGCCACCAAGGCCAGGCAAACTTGACAAAATTTTAAGATTGACTTTGGCTTTTTCAAGTGTGTTCTATATCTACACCTACCTACATGTGTATGTTGTATGTAGGGATGCATATATAGCTAATTTACTGCTTTTCTGTGTTGTTTAGTGGAGATTTCTCTGTTATCTTGTACACTACCAAGTAAAGTTTTGGTAAGAAGGTAAATTGATCTGTGCATGATCATTTCATCACCTTTGTACCTGTGCTGGCTGGCTTTTGTCAACTTGACACAAACGTGAGACAGCTGGGGAGAGGGAACTTCAGCTGAGAAACTGCCTCCATCAGATTGCTCATGGGCATATCTGGTGGGATGTTTTCTTGGTAACTGACACAGGCGGTCAGCCCTGGGCAGGCGGTCCTGGATTGTATGAAAGGGCAAAACAGTAAGTTGTGTGTCCCTGTGGCCTCCGCTTCAGTTCCTGCCTCCAGGCTCCTGCCTTGGCTTCCCTTCAGGAACTGTAACTTGTAAGCCACAGAAACCCTTTTGTTTCCCCAAGTTGCTCTGGATTGATCATGATGTTTCTCACAGCAAACTAAGACAGGACCTTACTGGATTGTAGTATATGTGTATATATAACATAACATCTGCAGAGAGATACAGTTTTACTTCTTTGCAAATGACTGAGTCTCTCACCCATATTATGTGTCCTACTTAATTACATTGTTACTATCTCCAAGACAATCTTTATGAGTACTAGAAATATAATTACACTCTGTCTTTTGCCTCTCTCAGGGGGAGATGCTTCTAATGTGACTAAGATAGTGGTTATGGGATGAATATAAGAAATAGAGCATCCATCCATCCATCCATCTATCCATCCATCCATCCATCCATCCACCATCCACCATCAGTCTACCTATTTCCCTCTGTTTCCAAACACATCCACATATACACACATATATTTGCATACTGAGAATGAATTCCTCCATTTCTGTTTGCTGTGGTAGGTTTGTTTTTGAGGTTTATATATTTTTATATATATGCTAAGTACCTGCTATGTACCAACTCACCAATCCTATTGGCCATCATGCTTGTGGTCTGCATTTTGAAATGATTGACAACAGTGCCAATAGAGTGAGCACTGTCAATCAGCTGTTGGAGTTTTCTTCTGCATTTACTCATTTCATCTCCACAGCCGTCTGGTGTGGCAGCATTGTTACTGTGCATGGGTTTTTCCATCTGGGGGATGCTGAGGTTAAGTAACTTGCTGCAGGCCAAGCATCCAGCAGGGGGCAGTGCTGGTCCACAAACCAGGACAACGGCGCTACTAGTTATGTCCATAGTTTGTCTTTATTCTGCAGACATTGTCCAGAGCAGCATTCCCCCATGCTATCTTTAGACAGGCACCCCAGTGTCCAGGGGTTGGGATGCTCTATCTCCAGATATCTTGTCTTTGGCTGAATGGACCGACAATGTACTCATTATGATGGTCATTGAACAGCAAGAAAGACAGTGTTTCCCCATCTAAAACATTCATGGTGTGAGATAATTTTTAAATAAGGGAGTTTGCTTTGCTTCTTGCCCTTTATTGTTACACTACAAGGGTCTAGGTGCCCTGTTGGGCTCAGCTCCCCTGAAACAAACTTGATATCACATGTAGGTCCTAACTGCTATCTTGGTAGATTGTTTTTTGTTTGTTTTTTGTTTTTTGTTTTTTGTTTTTTCCTAGAATGTTTACACAGTAGCAAAGAAGACATAACTCGGCACATGACAACTTTCTAAGTACAAATGGGCTTCCCCCTTCCTCTATTTCCCCAGAACTCAAGGTATGCAGTAGGCTACCTATACTAGGTTTGAAGTCAATTCTGTGTTATTTGTTTTTGTAAGGGAAGAATCCCATTATAAATTGATTATCATGAGAATTGCATGGATCTCTTACCAGACACTTAATAACCTTTGTCCATGGCAATGAGTTGTTTCCTCTGTGAACTTCTCTAAAAACCTTCAGCAAGCTCACCCTGCACTTCCTCTCCGGTCTCGGGGTCCCCTGTGTGGGGCTGAGGTCCCAGCTTGGCTTTAGGTTGTGTGGGTGTGTGGGACTCACTGTTTCTCTCCCTGCCCATTTGCTATCTGGTAGCTTGCCTTCCCAACTCACACAGACCATGCAGCTCTCTTCAGGGCTCCTACCCATGGGTTCCAGCTTGTTTCATGGAACAGCTCAGGTCATCCATATCGTTGTCTCTGGGACCTTTCCATGCCTGCCGAAGACAACTCTTTTTACCTCCCATTTCTCTGTATCAAGTGCTCCCAGGCATTTTGCCAGCCCTCCTATTGAAATGAGTCACAGCCAGCCAATGGCAGAGCTAGAATGCAAGACTTTCTCATTTCCAAACCTGTCTCCTTTCTTCTAAAACCATTATGCAGTTTCGAGGCACCAATAAATATCTCAGTGTGGTTCATTTTCCTATTTTGTGTAGCTCTTTGTGGTTTAAACAGGACTTTCACAAGTGTCCTGCCATCTATAATGCAAGTCATAGCATCTATATTTCATACAAATAGAGACAAGAGACCAGAGCTCAGAGAAACTCAAGTCCAGGCCAGACACCCTAAGTGTGGTCCCCACGGACAGTAGCAATATCTGTGAGACATGCCTGTTCTCAGGCCTACTTAGACCAATAGAGACAGAAACTCTCAAGTGGGGCCCAGCAACCTGTGTTTGACAAGCTTTCCCCATGAGGATCATTGCCTCAGGCACGAGTGACTGAATTTGTCAGGTTATAAATAAATCCAAAACACTGATGTGATTTAGAAACCTTCGGCTCCTCTCCGAACCCCCCTTACTGCTTTACTTTGATTCTGGAAGAAGCTATTAATGGTTTGGGGAGATGTCTTAGTGGGTAAAGCACTTGCCACACACTGTAAAAATCAGATAACAATCCCCAGAACTTACGTAAAGCTGTATGGGGTAGCATACGTGTGTGATTACAGAGCTCTGGTGAGGGCAGGAAAATCTGTAAGTTTTGGGGCCAGCTAGCCTGCTGTACACCATGGCTGACAACAGAGAGACCCTGTCTCAGACAGGATGAAAGGTTCAGGCTTGTCCTCTGAATTCCACACATGTGCTTTGACATGCACACACTGAAGTGTGTATCCCACACAAAGCTTCTTTATCACAGAAACAGAATTAGTCTCAGACGACTGCAGGTAAAACTGTTAATGTTAGCTTCCCATCTCCATAACGAAATACCTGAGATGATCAGCTTATAAGATGTTGGCTCACACCTTTAGAAATTCTAGTTCATTGGCTGCCCATGTTGTTCAGGGGCCTGTGGAGAAGTACAGAAATAGGGTATGAGTGTGAGAGAGAGAGCAAATACACTCATTCTATGCCAAGAAGAGAGAGAGAGAGAGAGAGAGAGAGAGAGAGAGAGAGGAGAGAGGAGAGAATGTGGACCAAGTGGGCGTGGTCAGCATTTCCCCCTAAACAGAGAGAGAGGGAGGGAGGAGAGGAGGAAAGGTTAGCTAGGATCCCAGAATCCTCTCTGAGGGCACAGCCCTAATGAGGTAAATGCCGCCCACAGGCCCCACCCCCTAAAGGTTCCAGTGCCTTCTAAGAGTACCCCCTGTAGACTGAGGCTTTAACATGTAGACTTTGGTGTCATTCAGGATCTAGACTTCTCTTTTGTCTTTTGTAGATCATATTGCTGAGAAGACAGATAAAGAACCGTCTTTATTCAACAGGGATCTAAGCGATCAATTAACTACTGCTGGCAAAAAAATATTCGGCAAAGAAATATCCCGAAGATTAGTAGCTATTCGTGGTAATCACTCTTTTTAAAATATATATTTTATTAACATTTTTAAATTTTTTTATTTTTTAAAACAATCTTATTTTACATACCAATCCCAGCTCCTTCCTCCTGCTCCCCCTCCCCCTTCCCCTCCCCCTCCTCCTCTACTCCTCAGAGAGGGTGAGCCTCTGTTCTTAAAGCATAACCTAAGTAAGAGTTTTGAGTGTGGAAGGTTCTAGAATGTGTCTTTTGAGGTCATGGTACTATAGCAGAATAGAGTCAGTGTACCTTTAGTTCACCTGCAAAAGTTTGTGGTAAGCTAGTGCAGGGTCATATACCTGTAATCCCAGCACTCAGCAGACTGAGGCAGGAGAATCATGGGTTTGAGGCCAGCCTGGGCTATGTGGTAAGGCTGTCTAAACACACCACACACATACACACATGCACGCACGCACGCACGCATTCACACACACACACACACACACACACACACACACACACACGGCAATGTAAATGAATTTTAAATCTTTGACCACATTTTCAAGAGGATTTTCATGGTTTTTCTAAATAGCCAGAGTCATTTAGAACATGGTATCCTCTTCTGAGTCCCTGCCATTGCTCGGCACTGAGGCTGTCTAACATACAAGAGGGATTCAATGTCAAAGGTTAACCTCGTCTTCTGAGGTTATGGCTTCTTCCTTCTTGTTGGGTTACTGAGCTCAGGCTTGTTGGGAGCAGGGAGAGACTGACCCCATGCTGGACCAAGCCCAGGATGCCCTCCATACAGCCACAAATGGAATCACAGATGCTCCTGATTTCCCAAATGTCAGCTGGAAGCTCCATCAAAAATACTTCACTGTCAGAAATTAATCGCCAAGGGCTGGAGAGATGGCTCAGCGGTTAAGAACACTCACTGTTCTTCCAAAGGTCCTGAGTTCAATTCCCAGAAACCACATGGTGGCTTGCAAGCACCTTGAATGAGACCAGGTGCCCTCTGCTGGCATTCAGGCAGAAGACTTTACGTAATAAATAAATAAAATCTTAAAAAAAAAAAAAAGAAATTAATCGCCAAGCCTGACAACTGGAGTTCATCCTCCAACCTTCATGATAGAAAGAGAGAACTCCCATAAATTGGTCACACACATGCGTGGTGTGTGTATGCACACATACAACACAAAATAAAATGTAATTTTAAACTTTCTAGTGTTGAATTATTCTAGGTTCAGGCTGCCTATAGCTAACTCTCCTTGTATCGTCCTGTTTAGATACTCACACTGATCTTGTGTCTTCCTGTTTAGATGCTCACAATGAGGGTCTGCCTTGCAGACAGATGCTGAGCTTCCTTCAGAAGAACATTGTTATTGCTACCATTGCTGTGGCTTCAGTCCTCCTGGTCACAGTGTTTGTGGTATTTGTACTGGTCACGTACTTAAGGCGGAAACAGCCAAGGTGAGTGGCTCTCGGCATCCATCTTCCTCTTAAGAACTCTGGAAGGGTGGCAGTGGTGGAAGGATGGGCTCAGATTCTATTCCTAGCACAGGGTGGTTCATAACCATCTGCATCTCCAGTTTCAAGGGATCCAACCCACACTCTGGCCTCCTAGAGCATGGTATACATGTGGCAATGATGGCAAAACAACCATACATGTAAGGTAAAATGAAAGTGTGTGTGTGTGTGTGTGTGTGTGTGTGTGTGTGTGTGTGTGTGTGTGTGTGTTTAAACAAATAACTTAGGGAGTTTGAAACAGTTGCTTCTTGCAAATCCCAGATATAGGAGGAAGTCAGGGATGGCTTCCTGCTGTGCCTCAGCATCTCCCAGCGATTAGAGTTCCCAGGTGATGGGTTTCAGGAACTGTCTGGCATTTCTGAGGCACAGGGAGGCTTTGGAGTCCCCGACTTGGGCTTTGCTTGCCTCTCAAGGCCATGCAAGTCTGAGAGGAAACTGAAGAGGAAACGGCAGAGCCTCTGGTTAGAAGAATGGAAGCTAGGACTCTATTCCCTGCCTCCCCTCTGGCCCCCCATCAGGGCTTCTCTGTGTAGCCCTGGCTGTCCTGGAACTTGCTCTGTAGACCAGGCTGGCCTTGAACTCAGAGGTCCACCTGCTTCTGCCTCCTGAGTGCTGGGATTAAAGGCGTGCACCGCCAAACTCAGCTAAGGGAACTAGGGCTCTAGGTGCAGGAAAGCCAAAGCATGGCTATAAGAAGGTGTGAAGGGACCAGATGGTGGAGAAGAAAACAAGGCTAAATTCTGTCCACTCACACTGGTTCAGCTGTGCGGCTTAGACCATGGTCCTGCTAACTGCTAAATCGCCACTTCCTAGAACCCTTCATGGTCCTCTAAGTGATGGATTAATGTCTGGCCTGGCAGGAGCCTTCAGGAGCAAGGAGAGAAAGGGTTCAGGCACAGATGGAACCTTGAACGGACACCAGAAGCAAATAACTTGAAAGAGCTTCATGTGCACAGTCACTTTGAGAATTAGGAGCCCCCTCTGCATCCTTGGAGACACACATTCCTAATGGCTGAGGAAAAGTAGCACCCCACCGACCACCTCCAGCTCCAGCACTCACCTTGTCCCTTTCCTTTGGGTCTGAGGCTGTAGCAGTTAAATTTCCCCATGAGAGAGTGTCACTGCCTTCTCTAAATGCCAAGGCCTTGTGGCTGGAAGAAAGCCTATCCAGGCAAGCTGACAACCACTTCACATCCCGCTTAACTCTTCCGAGACAGGCATGTGGGAAACTCGGATTTACGGGCTTCTGAAAATAATCTTGGCTCCATTTCATAACCCAGGCCAGGGCCCATCCTTGGACCAGCCATTTTCACTTGAAAAGAACTGGTTAGGATGGCTGGCTCCATCCCAAACAGATGAGCTGGGGCTGTGGATGGAGGAGTTTCCCAGAGGCACTTTGCGGCCCCGGGTCAGAGGGACAGACCTTCCCCGAGGAAACAGAATTCGGATCCCTGAAACTGCAGCCTCCCTTCCCATCTACCGGGCAGACAGTGGGGATTCCCATGTGCAGTGAGTATGCAGTTTTTCTTCTTCGTTTTAGGTGTCCGCCAGCGAACACGACATACAATATTTTTATAATGAATGGGAAGGGTTGGTGGCATAAGCCCGAGGAGAGGCTCCTCAGAAAATTCGCAGGGAAGCAGAAACACCTCAAGTGTAATTCCTGCGTCTAAGCCGGTGGAGGAGGCAGCAAACCGTCACCAAGCCACTGTCGGAGGGTTCTTTTGTGCTACCTGGACAGAAATCGAGGGTAGGCAAGCTCTCAAAACGCTGGTCTCTAGTGTAGGTGGGTGGAAGAAGTGGCAGCTGGCGCCCCTAGTGGTGCAGTCTCATGCAGGCCCTGGTGCTGGCTCTTGCTCACTTGCTGTCAGAGCTACAGTTTTCAGGTTGGGGTTTGAGACACTAGTCTCTAAAGTCACACCTGTTTCCACATCCCGTCTTCCTGCTGGGGAACTCATCAGCTGCTCCCTCAGTTGTTGGTGCTGCCACCAGGATGACTCAGGGGGTGGGGGATGGTGTACCTGCCTCTGTTGGGGCAGCCTTTGGGAGCTGGGGATGCAAGAGGGCCACTCAGAAACAGGTTGCTGGGAACGGCTGGCATCATTAAGCTCTGACATCCTTTCCCACTAGGGCCAGGATCCTGGTGGGATGATGGGATTCCTAGCCTGGACCCTTGCCAAGTCCTGGGCAGCAGTGCCATGCTTATAGAGCTAGGTTGGCTCAGGCCTGTACCCACAGCCTGCTTCAGTGGGTGGGTTGAGCAGCTACTTTAGCTGTTGTATGGCACACCAACACCGAAGCTTCTTTGTGGATCAGTGGTGAGGATACCAGCCACAAGCAAGGTATTTGAGAGCAGGGGTGGGTCTGGCACCAGACACTGACTGGGACTGCTCTGAGAACTCTTTGGATTTCTTCAACTGTTGACCAGTAGTTATAGGTACTTTGAGCTCTGAAGCTGGGGCCCCCATCTTGGGAATGTATACAGTACATTGGACAGTTTGGTAACCTGCTCCAAGTGAGCAAAGCAGCCTGCTTAAATAGCCTAGAAGAGCTGTTAAGACCAATCACAGCCATTTGTTTGGACCAATCCCAGTTCCCCAGTTCTGGGCCAATCACAGGCTTGCCAGAGGCCATAGTCATCCCTCCACCAGTGGAAGGGTTCCCTGGTTGGCCAAAGCAGAACTGAGGCTGTGACTGCAGAAAGTGTGGCACAAGCCATTTCAAACAGCTCTGCCTAGGGCTGGGTCTTCAACAAGCCTAGGTGACCAGCTGTGATGTTCTGCATAGTTGGCTCCAGGCATACATATGCTGGGTATTAAAGATGGCTGGTGCTATCAGAATGTAGTTCAGCCGACAGTCCTATGCTGGGCTGTGGTTGCACACGCCTTTAATCCCAGCACTCAGGAGGCAGAGACAGATGGATCTCTGTGAATTTGAGGCCAGCCTGGTCTACTTAGCAAGTTCCAAGACAGCCTTCAAAGCTATAGAGAAACCCTGTCTTGAAAAGCAAAACAAAGCAAAACAAAACAGAAGATAGACAGTCATTTTGCTCACAACCACTGAGACAAGAGAAGATGCCAAAGATGCTAATTAGGGGGTCAAATTGATCCCAGTATCTGCCTGTCTACAGGAAAATGAGCATAGGAAGGCATGCTTAAATAGAAACTCAATGAACTCAATGTTAACAGTGCCAGTGACTTTGTTTTTTGATTTTTTTTTTTTTGAGACAGGGTTTCTCTGTGGCTTTGGAGGTTGTCCTGGAACTAGCTTTTGTATCCCAGGCTGGTCTCGGACTCACAGAGATCCACCTGCCTCTGCCTCTGCCTCTGCTTCCCAAGTGCTGGGATTAAAGGCACGTGCCACCACCGCCTGGCCAGTGCCAGTGACTTTAACACATTTTAACTGCTTTCCATCAGTGCCCAGGGAGGGGTGAGCTCCTCTTCTCAGTCTCAACTGGGACCTGGAGTCACCATGCAAGGAAAGTCTTGATCTAGTCACAGAGAGGCAATTGGAGTTAGGGCTGTAAGGTGTATTCTGCAAAAAATGTTTACTGTCACCTGCCTATCTTGACTGGACCCCTGGATACTTGTGGTGATAGAGTATGAAGGACCAGGGCAGTTGACAGTGCCGTTTTAGAAGAAGCTGGTGCCTTTAAGAGGTGATTCCACAGTGGAAGGTGTGGACCACTGAGGGCAAGCTGAGGTTTTATGTATGTATTTATTTTGAAAGGTTTGTTTTGTGATTTTATGTGTGTGGAGGGGTATGTGCATATGAGTTTGGGTGCCCTGTGAGACTAGAGGTATTGGGTCCTCTGGATCTGAGTCCTCACCCATAGGGCATCCTGCACACTCCTGCCTTGCCTTGCTGACCTCCCAGGGGCTCAGGCATGAGGTATAGGGCAGGAGTGAGAGGATAGGAGGGAGGGGAGTGATGAAGGGGATAGGAAATTTAGAGTGTGGCGTGTAGGGAAAGGAAATCTGATGGGTGAACTTGGAGAGGAGGCAGGGTTCACTCCCCACCAGCTGATATTTATAAACACCTAGAACTGTGAGGTCTCAGACAGGCCATCCCTGTGAGACTGGCCACACTACAGTTGTCACCTACTCTCTTGGTCCCCACTCCGACAAGCATCTAATGATCACCACTCTGTGCTAGACACAGTGGCCAGTGTCCCTTCCTGTGGCAGTCTCCCCTAATGGCTGACCTGCATGGGCCTGGCCTTGGTCTCCTGTGAGGTCAACATGATCCTCCCCCATTTCACAGTCAAGCCAGAGAGGGGCTGGGGAATAGTCCACGAGAGCCGACCCATCTATCCTGTCTCTGCTGCTGGGCTGTACCTGTGAGGTTGGTGATCACAGGACCAAAGAGAGTAGGTGACAACTGTAGTGTGGCCAGTCTCACAGGGATGGCCCATCTGAGACCTCACAGTTCTAGGTGTTTATCAGGCCCAGGGAACTGGGTCCAGCTGGATTCTGGTACTGGTCCTGCCTAGGCCTGCTCTGAGCCTCAGCTTCCTCATTTTGACAATAGAGGAAGTAATTGAGCACCTGCTGTATGCCAGACACTGTGCTGGTCTGGGGACACTATAGAAAGTAGTGACTAGGACCCCTTTGAGCTCGGATGAGATGCACCAATGTGGTCACATGTCCCCTCACCCTGCTTCATTCCAGCCTCTGGGCTCCCAAGTCTAAGCGGTAGCAACCCTGCCCCCCCCCAATCTTCTGTCTCTTTTCCAGGTGTTGCCCTCTGTAGGTGAGCACTCCTTGCCCATGGGCCCAAGGGAGCAAGCCCACATCTGTCTACTTCATTATCACCTTTACCAAAGGGATCCCTTTCACTTTATTTTTCCCCCACTTGGTGGGAATACAGCCTCAAAGATGGCATTGGGTTTTCCACCATGTCATTGGAAGGTCTCCAGTTTGCTTACTCTTGGCCTGTTTCTCTCTATAACATGGGCTAGCTTCCTTTGTGGGACTGTTGTATCACATGGGCCCTCAGCTAGGACTTCTCAGTAGAAAAGAAGACTTTTTTGTTTGTTTTTCGAGACAGGGTTTCTCTGTAGCTTTGGAGCCTATCCTGGAACTAGCTCTGTTAGACCAGGTTGGTCTCGAACTCACAGAGATCCACCTGCCTCTGCCTCTCGAGTGCTGGGATTAAAGGCGTGCGCCACCACCGCCTGGCAAAAGAAGACTTTTTAAAAAGCTGTTATGATCATTCTGCAAGATATTGGCTCTCTGCCTTCCCAGCATCCTCTGCAACCCTTCCAACCACTCTTTCCTGACCCAGCCACCCCCACATTCACCCACTGGCTTCAGAGACTGGTTGGGGAATCACTATTCAGAGATAGAGATGGGGCCCACTGGATCTATGAACTGTGTTGGGGGCATTCTCTGGGAATACTGAGAAAAAAAATGTTGCTCTTTGCACAGGACTTGAAATAACTCCCCATCTCGAAGCCCAGGAAGAAAATGCAACAGAGAGAGAAGCCAACAGGCAGGAGGTGACAACCCTGCAGCCATCATTGGAGACTAGAGCAGGTTGCCCTGAAGCCCATCCCTGGAATTTTCAGCTACTCATATAATAATTATCAAACACATTTTATTTGTTTTGTTTGTTTTTTGAGAGTCTCATGTATCCCAAGCTGACCCCAGACTCCCTGTGTAGTCAAGGATTATTTGAACATCTAAGATTATTTTTTTCCTTAGGTGTATGTGTGTGACTATGCGTGGGTATGTGCTGTAGGATTAATGTCTCTTTATTCAAGAAGACACCAAGGCAAAACACGGGCCAGAGCTAGGTTATAGAACCCAGCAAGCGCGGCCAGAACAAAAGGGGGCCAGGGTCCCCACGTGCAGCCCCTTAAGAAGCTCCCTTACATCACCCCGGCTTTCCTTTACCACGCCCTTATGGGCGAGTCCCGGGTTCACCTGGTACCTGTCCCAGGACTATTGGGTGGGGCTAGGGTGTCTCCCTACAATGTGCACTAGAATGCAAGTGCCCACAGAGGCCAGAAGAGGGTGCTAGATAGAGTGGAGCTGGAGTTCAAGAAGGTTGTGAGCTGCCTTAAGTGGGTGCTGGGAATTGAACACAGATCCTCTGTAAGAGCAGCCTGAACTCTAGACCACCGAGCTGTCATTACAGCCCACACTTTGAACTTCTGGTCTGTACTCCTAGGTACTGGGACTACAGGCATGTACACTATGTGATGCTGAGATCGAACCCAGGCCTTGTGCGTGCTAAGCGAACAATCCCCCACCCCTCAAACACTCCAGTTACTAGGCTAGAGACCCCACCTCACAGCACATTCCTGCTTCAGGCTGTCTCATTTGCTGTTCTCCCTCCCTCCCCCACCTTTTCCGTTGTCTCCTGTAGCCTCTTGGCTCTAGTTGTCTCCTCTGTGAGTCCTGCCCTGACCCATGTTCCAAATGACATGTCTTCCATTTCCTAGTGTTTTCCTCCTCTATGGAACTCTTCACCATTTTGCTGAGTCTCTCTTTCCATCAGACTGCCACCTCCACAGGGAAGAGGTCAGCGTCTGCAGTGGCTGCAGCAGGTGCTTGGTACCTTGGACAGGGTTAGGCTGACTGTAGGTGACCTGGTCTTGGACTCTGAGACACTGGCAACTGCCATGATGGCTTGAACGTTTCAGGAGGAGCCAGCCATCCGAGAAGCC